TTTGCTGGCTGACTGAAGTAAACGGGATGGAATGAAGGGTGTCAGGAGCTCTTTCATGTAGTATGGCCCTTGATTATATTAAGGCTTTGAAGGTTAGCAGGCCAATTTTAAAATATGTTCGCTATTGGAAGCCAATGCAGGGCGTGGCAGGAGCGTGTTATGTGGCAGGAGCGAGTTTAACTGGTCAGTACTCTGGCTGCTGCATTTTGTACAATCTGATGGGGATGGAGTTCTTTTTCTGGAAGGCCCAAGTAGAGTACTGAAACAAACAAATTATTATATACGCCCCTGGGATGGGGAAGTATGTAATGGGGTGGTGGGTTATGGAGTACACCCAGATAGGAACAATACAACCTGTGTGTCCACAATCTGATATAGTATAAATCTACAAATGAAAAGGACAGTATATGGTGAAGTACATAGGGATAAAATAAATAGCTCCACGAGGTAGAGAACTTACAAAATGTAAGGAATAATGTACTTGTCTCCCCTCAAAGGTATAGAAGATGATGAGGATCTTATCAAAAGGAGCCACGAACATATGAATAAAAAAGACAGGCTTGTCTCCACTGACAAGTGGACAGAGTGTGTAGACATCCAATGTGTTTCGTCACAATGGTGACTTCCTCAGGGATATCCCTGAAGTAGTCACCATGGTGACGAAACGCGTTGGATACCTGCTGTTTTGCTGGACTTTTATTCCATTCATATTTGAAATAATTGAAATAGTCCAGTGAGAGAAAAAGGCAAGAAAACAGCTCTTCACTTATGTAAGTAACAGTGATATGCCACATAAAAAATAAAATAAAGAGGTCAGGGCCTGACAGCCAAGATGGCCGGTAGCACAATCCATGAGCTCCTGCAATACTGAGCAAAAACGGGCTCTTATCGAGTGACCTACCAAAGATGACGGCACACGGTGCCCGGGGGTCGACTCAGGACACCATGAGATACGGAATGGTACCGGTCCAATCCCAAAGCGACACAGAAAAATCCACACCGACCATGCGGCCTACATCAAAGCAAAGTCTGAGGTCAGGGGGAGGCGGCCAATCACCCGGCACAGGACACGCTCGCAAACGAGACCTTCATACAGCCCTGCTATCCCCCCCTCTGGACCAGCGGGGGATATCCCAGTCCTCGCCGGGGGTGACTACCCCCACAATATTGCCTGAACAAACAATTGTGGCTAAAGCAAAACGGGGAGAGCAAGGCACAACCAAGATGGCGGCACAGAAGCAGCCTACAATAAAGGACCCAATTATCGAGCCTCCCAAGCATACATGGGAGTTTTATGACAGGCTCCGTACCAGCCTATGGACACAGCTACATGCCCGGAGACCGCTTTTCAAGCAAGTGATGCGAGCAGTAGCGGAATGGATCCACCCGGCAACCCGACGCCACCTGGGAGTACACCCCCCTCAAGCCTCCAGAATGGCCCCCCGACGGAACCGGAGCCAAGGATCAGCGTGGCAGGAAGCAGTGCAGGGTTGCCTGGACACCAGCGTCAACACCCCCACAGACGGAGGGTCCCTCCATGACTCACAGAAGGGGGAACCTTGCATCTCACCATGCTGCCCAACCTCGGGATACCCGTGACAGGAGTCGGCTGAAATACACCTAGGACTCAGACAGACCAGAGCTCCACTTAACAGCAACACACAGCGCAAGAGGAAGACCCGACCTATTATTTTGACTCACAACGCTGGCATCATCACCTCCCTGCCTCATGGACTTGACCCAAGAGAGATGCTCCCGGTACATTTAAGCTACTTGATGGTCAGAGCTCCAAGAGATACCTAGAGTCTATGCAAGGGAATATAACAACTATGCTTATCAGCAAACACAACTGAAATAGCTTGCCAGAGCTCTAACAACAAGCTGTTCAACCCTAGATCCAACTTAGAAAACTTGACTAGACTGCCTAAACTATAGTATACATAACTCTGGAACCACTGCATGTTCATAATTTACTACATAAATGTTTGACCAGATCTGGCAATGAGTATTATCAGCGCGAATACCCAACAATGAACCTACCATGCCTCATACCGCTAACGTGTTTAAAAATATAATGTTAGTTACTCAGTCTTTACTTAAAACTAAAAATTTGTGTTGGATTTTGCAAGCACCCCTATAATTAACTGTCTATTATGCGTTGGAGGAATGCCTTTGGGGTACCTCACAACCGTCTGTTAGCTTAAGCACTGCAAACATAAAAATTCAAAAATAAATAAATAAATAAATAAAATAAAATAAAACAATAAATAAAAGAACAACTTTAAACCAGTGAAGGACTTATTGGAAGTATGTTTGACTGTAAATTCCTGCCCTATTGTGTTTTACACCCCACCTCCTATAGAATGTAAGCTCGATTGAGCAGGGTCCTCTCCAACCTATCGTTCCTGTAAGTTTTTTGTAATTGTTCTATTTATAGTTAAATCCCCCCTCTCATAATATTGTAGAGTGCTACGGAATCTGTTGGCGCTATATAAATGGCAATAATAATAATAATAATAATAGAAGAATTGTGCGGTAGTGCAGTCCAAATTAAAGACTTTATTTATCAAGAGAAGTGTTCAGCAAGAAGCTTTCTGAGTGAGGAGACCTAGACAACTGAATCAAATATCACAGTTAATTGATTATTTAGGTTCTATTGGAAAATAATTTGATCAAGAAGATAATGTGATTCTGATTTTATCAAGTATTCCAGAAAGCTACAATTCATTATTTCATGCACTAGAAACAAAAACTAGTGGAAGAAAAATATTTTAGTACAAAACATTGAGAAGCCTCTCAGAAAACAAATCTGCTTATCACAGTAAGCAAGCCAATACATTTGCACACAAAGAGGGCAAAAATAATGAATGTTTTCTATGTGGAGATAACTAGATTAAAAAGCTACCATAGACATGAAAAACACCTACACTGCAGAAAAGAACAGAGTAAAAATGCTTTTATTGTTCAAGACATGGTTAACATAAATTGTTGGATTGATTCAGGTGCAACATCGCACATGTGCAAAGATTCCAATTTCTACAAAAAATAAGACAATAATTTTACAGAAACGGTGAGCATTGCTAATGACAACAAACTGTGGACGAGAAGACAGTTTCTTGAAATGTGTTGCACAAGCAGACATTAAACAACATGTACTTTACTTACCTGACCTTAGAGAGATAATTTACTCAGTGTTTCAGTATTAAACAAGCGTGCATATATTGTAAACTTCAATTGCAATAAATATTTTTTTTAAAACAGTCTTTTGAATGCACACAGTTTTGAAAGTACACGGTTTTGAAAGTTGGCTAAGCCAACATAGCCAAGAATTGCCCAAACTGTAACTGTCTGTGGCATACAATACTTGGAGACAAAGTAAAGGTTTGGCAAGAGGAACAGAAATACATTATCAGAATGGTTACAACAGAGAAGCATGTGGCCATATTTTTTATGTTAGAATGGTCCTATCAAATGTACAAATCTTAAACAAGAATTGGTGGCACATTATTCTACAGAAGCAGAATATGTCACCAGCAAGGACCTCACGATCACATGGGCGGCATAGCCGTCCACAGCAATGTCAGCAGAGGGAGTGCCTGGAATGACAGGTACTTCCCCATGCTGCCTGAAAAAAATAATAATAAAAGTTGAAAACAGTGTAAAATACAATTATATATACTTAGATCTAAGTATATATATATATATATATATATACATATACATACACATACACATACACTGTCTTAGTGTATTTTAACATTAATATATATAATTATATATATATATATATATTAATGTCAAAATACATGTAGAATGATATTGATTAAATATATATATATATATAATTATCATTATAAAAACAGAGGATGTCCCTGCACTCAAGCTGAACATAAATAAGTAAATTGCCGGGTGCAAGCCAAGGCTCAAATGTATCCAGAAAAAGTAACAAATGTAGCTGCACTCACGGTCTGTAGTTAAAATCTTCAATTCTTTATTGGTTCATTTTAAAATTGGATCAACGTTTCAGTCCCCCTTGTGGTCTTTCTTCAGGATCAGAACAACATGTTCAACAACAAAAATCACCCAGACGGTCCGCACGCATGGTTTCATGCCCAACAGTTCCAGAGAATTAGGCTGTGCAGCAGGTCTATTTTAACTGGACGAAATGGTGAATGATCATAGTCAATGTGTGCCCCTTGTTCGTGGGCTTCGACTCACCGAATGCTGTTCGTCTCCTGTTCGAAGTTCCCTGGAAGGTAACTGTTCAGCAGTGTTCGTGCCGTCGCGTGTCCGATTTGAGTTCCATGAACTCGACGACAAAACACAGCTGAACACGTTCGACCAAATAAGATGGACGCCGCCACATGTTTGAATGTCGAATGGCGGCCACTTTGATACTTCGCCTGTAGTCGAAGTGCCACTTTGAAAGTTCAAATCTGTTCCAGTATAAGTCTAAGAGTCAGAAACAGTATTTTTAACCCCCAGCTCACCACAGAACCATAGTCACAGGGTAGGAGGCTAGCAAACAGGCCCCTCCAAAAACCAGTGGCAAGGTCACTTTCGCCCCAATAAGTATATACGTATATATCACTCTCTCTCTCTCTATATATATACATATATATATATATATATACCTAACCTATATATAAATAAAAATAATTTACACAAATTATATATATATATATATATATATATACACACACACACATATATACATACGTATATATATATATATAATAATTCTACGTTTATATTTATGTAATAATTTTACATGGGGGGGCGTGACTTGGATACTGACCGGAGCAGACGCATGTCAGCTGAGCTACGGCTACACACAGCACCAAAAGCCCGATGTCACCGGCGTACTACCCCGCAAACATCAGAGCCGGCGACCGGCAGTAGGCAGCAGTATAGGGAAGAGAGCAAAAAAGCTCTGGACCATCTCAGGGGAAGGCTCCCGCTACATCAACATCCTCCTGCAGCCGCGGCCTAGGCCCAAAATGGCGGCACAGCAGGACCTGCTCTATTCCTCCTCTGAGGAGAAAATCCTCAATGCCCCAGATGAAATACCCCACACGGAGAGCCTAATCTCCACACATCAGGGGGAAGATCGGACAGCCCCAGCTACAAGGGGAGACATCAAGACACTAATGCACAACATCCGTGCCTTTTTCAATGCTGACTTAAACATAAAAAGGGAAGATATCACAGGAGTCACTGCCAGAGTTCAGGCTACAGAGGACAGCATCCACTCTATCACACAACAGCAGACAAGCACAAAAGAACAGATGCAACAACTCCTTGCAGCAAATAAAGCCATGCAGATCAGACTAGATACCACGGAGACACAAAAACCTCAAAATAAGAGGCATAACAAACAATTCGTGACCAAGAACTGCCGCATTTAATTAGACGACTCCTGTCTACTTTGCTGCCCCAATGCTCTTCAAGGGGCATTCAAATCGATGGCTGTTTCCGCCTTGCAAAATCTAGCAGGGCTCCAGCTGGGGTTCCCCGAGACATCCTGGTACGCTTCCTCGCACTGCGGGTCAAACTAGCAACCCAAGAAGCTGTGAAAAACAAAACACCACTTCAATTCGAAACAATGCAGCTCCAGTTTTTGCAAGACCTATGCCGATCCACCTTAGACTGGAGACGAGCCTTTCAACCAGTCACGAGGGTCCTACGAACGGCTAACATGCCCTATAAATGGGATCAGTCTCGCACCCTCACAGCTACCAGAGACGACCGCACTTACCAGCTTCTTTCCACAGAGGATGCCTCAGCCTTCCTAAGTGACTTAGGCCTGACCTCACCTCCAGACGGCACTGCCGAGCCGAACCGCACCTGGGAAGTGAACAATGCAGAAACCACCTGAAGAGGGGACGGACGCCCCTTACCTCCAACTGAACACGGAGGGAACCCCTGCAGCCTCACAGGGACGGACTGACCTCAATCAGTCCCATTTGTTTGTTATTTATGCTATTATTATTTTAAAGTACTGCTTAGTACGGCTTAATTTTATTGTTTAAAGGTTACAGTGTTGTCACCATATGCCTACACAATGCCTCGGAGCTGTCCTGACATGCGGACATTGACTCAACCGGCCTCCCCCACCTCCCCCTCCCCCCCGGAACACTCAGGGGTTATTGAGTGTAAGTTGGCAGGAAGCACCCACGACAGACCCAATTCATCATTACAGTTAGCTACTAGGACACAAGCATAATCTTATTACATAAGACCCACAGGGCTGGGTCTCCCTCCTACTCTCACAGCCTCAGCGTGATTAAAAAGCCCGCAATTCTTAGATCACTAACCAGCTACAGTTTTATATCTTACATGATTGCACCTAGTTTGCATACTAGTCACTTAACTTACCTTATAATTACTCACACAGTGTCAGGGTCCAAGCCATTTTTATTAACACTTATGCATCCATATAGAGACACAGCTAAACTCAACTTGTTTCACTCTCTCTTAGCATGTTACCTGCTATATTTTCTTACTCAGTGCCAGGCGACAAAGTATATCCCCATTAATCCTTCCGAATATTCATCCACTGATACATTTTGATTTCACCTGTAATTTACTTTAAAATTGTGCAAAGTAGTTTCTATGCCATGTTACAATCTATTGTTAAATGGTTTGCTACAGCTATTGTGGTGTAGCAGACCTGAATATAATCTCATGCACGAACAAAAATAAAGAATTAAAAAAAAAAATTTACATAATTAGGTCATTTTATTAATTACAATTTGCGGGACCTGCCTGACAACCCAGGCCGAAAGTCCAGGGAATTTGATTTGCTAGCACTATATTTAACCCTGTAACTTTCCAAGACACCATAACACCTGTACATGGGGGTTACTGTTTTACTCAGCAGACTTTGCTGAACACAAATATTAATGTTTCAAAAAAGTAAAATGTATTACAATGACAATATCGTCAGTGAAAGTGAAATCTTTCGCATTTTTCACACACAAATGGCACTTACACGGACGATATAATTGTTGTGATACATTTTACTGTTTTGAAACACTAATATTTGTGTTCAGCGAAGTCTTCAGAGTATAACAGTACCTCTCATGTACAGGTTTTATGGTGTTTTCAAAAGTTACAGAGTCATATATAAGGCTTGCGTTTCAGTTTTTTTCAAATTGAAATTCGCCAGATTGGTTACGTTACCTTTGAGACCTCACGTTACTTTTGAGCCCAGGAATGAGAATTACCCCCATGACGGCATACCATTTGCAATAGTAGACAAATGGGGTATGTCCAGTCTTTTTTAGTAGCCACTTAGTCACAAACACTGGCCAAAATTGGCGTTAACATTTTTTTTTAATTTTTCACACACAAACAATATTAACACTAACTTTGGCCAGTGTTTATGACCAAGTGGCTACTAAAAAAGACTGAAAATACATCATTTGCAATACCTTGGGTTGTCTACTATTGCAAATGGTATGCCATCATGGGGGTTATTCTCATTCCTGGGCTACCATACGGTCTCAAAGGCAATGTAACCAATCTGGCGAATTTCAATGTGAAAAAACTGAAAAATATAACATGCTATATTTAACCCTGTAACTTCCCAAAACACCATAAAACCTGTACATAGGGGGTGCTGTTGTACACGTGAGACATCGCTGAATACAAATATGTGTATTTTATTGCAGTAAAAGCAAACAGTATTATGACATTCACAGTTAAAATGTCACGTAGAACTAAAAATATTTTTAAAATTCTTATTTTCACGCTTTTTTAATATTTTTTATTCAGATTAAATTATGTTTCATATCTAAATGTTTGATGGTAAATGAAAGCGCTTTTTCCCCTGAAAAAAATGATATATAATAAATGTGAATTACCCCTGAACAGACATATAGCGCAAATTCCAGGTTTTGTTTACGTTTTGTTTTGATCACAACTTGTACATTTGGCTCAGTCCTTAAGGGGTTAAGGGGTTAAAAGCAGGAACTATAAAATGGCTGTGACAATACAAAACAGAGTATCTATATAGGATCCTACTGAGCTAGCTGGGTCCCTCCAGCAACTTTATTTTTTAGGTCTTGGTTTTCTGTAAGACTGCAAATTAAAAAACATTGATTTCATTGAATAGCCTGGTTTCAAAGTCACTATGCAGTTTATAGTAATATTTGTGTTTACTATATTATTTTTGTTGCTCACAGTTTTTTACAAGATGTGTATATACACAATTTGGATTAATATAAAACCCTACCATACTTTCTACATGATTATCATTAGCATGCTTGCTTTTAGCATTTTAACATTATTACATCTAGGTTTGTTATAAAAGGCACGATCACTTACTACGCAATGGAAATACAGTATTTTTCAGAATATAGGACACAGTTTTCTATCCCCCAAATTTGGTACTTTTAGGGAGGGAGAAAGATTGCGGGAAGCGATTTATTACAGTTAAAAGTGAGAAGTGATATAGTATTAAAAACATTGAATAATGTATAAGATGTAAGTAATATATGTGGTATAAGTAATATGATGAATCGTACTGAAGATGACTTTCTCTTTGAAGAAGAAGAAGGAAGTGATGGTTCAAGTGAAAATTAAATTATGTTACCAGTGACAGTAAAATAATCAAGGATGGATACTGGTACCTTGAAGGATTTGATTCATTTTTATTATTTATTTATATCTATTTTTTAATATTTCTGCTTAAAAATGTGGGTGCATATTCTAAAATATGGTAGTTATCCCCTTTCGGTAGTTTTTCTTCTCTGTTTCGGGCCACTTCAACAGAGGCTGCTCCGAGTATGTAACGGTGAGACTATATGACTCTTTGGATTCTTATTCTTTGCTTTTGTAGCACTAACATGATGGATTTCACAACTTTTTACCCAGTGGCTATGTTTCTTTCATTAACACAGTGTTACACTTTTTCACGGTGGACTTTAAATACAGTGTTTATGACAGCTGCTACAATTATAAAGTTCACTTAGTGGACTCTGATATTTTAACCAACTGCTGATACATTTGTGCTTTTTACAGTCCTGGGAAAAACAAAGTACACCCTCTTTGAAAACCTCAGATAAAGAACGACACATGGAGAGCTGTAGTTTTAAAACATTTGCGGATCTACCTTTTGGGCGCCGCTGCTTTGGTAGGTAGGTTTTTAAGGCAGGCTTCATAGAAATTAACCAAGCTTATTTATAATCATGTAGGATTTAACATGATTACTTGAAGACTAACTTGCAAAAGGTAATCTAAGATTTGGATAGCATCTCCAATTCATGTTTCTCTGGCCTACATTTCGCATGTCTGTTCTCAAGTTACCACATGCTGTTTAGTAATGTTACCTCATAATGTAGCTGTATATTGCATGAAATGAACACTATAGTGTTAGGCAGTGGCGTACTAATGAGGGGGTGGGGTGGGCAGTCCGCCTTGGGTGTCATCAAGTAGGGGGTTGCCACCAGGGCTGGCCAGGCTTGCTATTCTGTGAGCTGTGTGGCAGCACCGGGTGCCATAGCAGCAGGGGCGCCAGGCAGCCGACACAGCTCACACGCAGGGGCTGGGAGCAAGCAGGAAACCTGCACTGAGATTTGGGGGCGGAGCCAGATTGACCATGAGGGCGGAGCCAAGTTGGGTGTGGGGGCAGGGGCTAAATGCAGCCTCTTACTGCTCACACAGAGGGGAAGCAGGAAGGAGTCCCTGCTTCCCCAACTACAGCACAGGAGGGACTGAATCCACTCCTCCTCCAGCCCAGGCTTACTGTAAGTTAGAGAGTGTGTACTGTGTGTAACTGTGATTGTGACTGTCTTTGACTGTGTGTGTGTGTGTGACTGTCTGCCTGTGATTGTCTGCCTGTGATTGACTGTGTGTGTGATTGCCTGCCTGTGTGTGTGACTGTCTGCCTGTGATTGTCTGTGTGACTCTGTGTGTGTGATTGTCTGCCTGTGTGTGTGTGTGTGTGTGACTGTCTGCCTGTGTGTGTGTGATTGTCTGCCTGTGTGTGTGTGTGTGTGTGTGATTGTCTGCCTGTGTGTGTGTGTGTGTGTGCGTGACTGTCTGCCTGTGATTGTGGGTGTGTGAGTGACTGTGACTGTGTGTGTGTGTGTGTGACTGTCTGCCTGTGTTGTGTGACTGTCTGTGATTGTGACTGTCTGTGTGACTGTGTGCCTGTGTGTGTGCCTGTGATTGTGTGTGTGGCTGTGTGTGTCACTGTGTGTGTGTGTGTGACTGTCTGCCGGTGATTGTCTGTGTGACTCTGTGTGTGTGTGACTGTGTGTGTGTGTGTCACTGTGTGTGTGTGACTGTCTGTCTGTGATTGTCTGTGTGACTGTGTGTGTGTGACTGTCTGCCTGTGATTGTGGGTGTGTGTGTGTGTGACTGTCTGCCTGTGATTGTGTGTGTGTGTCTGTGACTGTGT